AAGTTACTTAAATATTAGTACCAAGACATTCATGAGTTTGTAAATAAAAATATTATAAGTATGCTTGTATAGATACAACATATAACTTTTAAAATATTTGTCCAAGCTGGGCATGGTAGCACATGCCTGTAATCCCAGCACTCAGGAGGCTGAGGCAGGAGGATCGCTATGAGTTCAAGACCAGCCTGGACTACATAGTGAGTTCCAGGTCAGTCTCAAAACAAAAACAAATATACACACAAAAAAATTTCATGTATCCAGGGCTGGGGATTTGGCAGCAGTGGTTCTGGTGCCTGCCTCGCAAGTGCAAGGGTCCAAGTTCGATCCCTGGTACCAAAAAAAAAAAAAAAAAAAAAAAAAAAATAACATTTGTCTGAAATATACAACCTACAATACGCCAGATAAAGGCTTTCTTTCCATATAATTATTAAAATTATGTTACCAGCCAATCTGACAATTAGAATTTTCATTCCTGTTTACAAATCTGGCCCCATGTGAAAGATGAATACCACAACAAAATAAAAAATGCACATTTGACTGAGGGAGAAAAAAATTTCTACACTTGCAACCACAGGCTTCAATGAGACCTAAACACTTAAAAGTATGTAAATTAGAAACACTAAAATAAGATAAAAACGTAAATGTTAAAGTCCTTCATATCACTGAGGCCATAAATTGAGGTCACGGTAGTAACTTACTATAATTTACACTTTTTGTAAGGTTTTACTCCATTTTTGTTTTAGTGTTATAGCCATCACACTTCTATCCACATTATCATGACTTTCCCAATCAAGGGCATTATTAAAGCCAGGCAACAATGGTTAAAGCCTTTTCAATTATTTTGCTATTTCTTTTCTCCATTGGCAGAGTAAATGAGTATCTAGAGTTCTTATGAACTCTTTTTGAATAAAAAAAGAAAACAACAGTGAAAACCTGAGACACTTTGAGTCTACTGAGTTAGATACAAGAATCTTAAAAATGGGAAATGTTCCCCTACTCCAGAAAACGTCCAATTATCACAATGTGCTCAGAGGTTCATACCATAAACATGGTTGAAAGAAACACAGAGGGGCCTCTTTCTGAATAAGCAATTACTCTTAACACCTAATTATTAAAATCTTGTCAATAAAACATGCATAGGTTCAGAAGGTCTTCTCCGAAGTGCTCTGGGGGGCCGGGGATTTAGCTCAGTGGTTCTGCCGCCTGCCTCACAAAGGCAACATCCTGAGTTCAAGCCCCAGTACCAAAAAAAAAAAAGTCATGAAAGTGCTTTGGACCACAGTATTTTGTATTTCAGGCTTTTCAGATTCTGAAATATTTGAAAATATATATGGCAAGATATCTTGGAAGTAGGACGTTAAGTTTAAATTCAAAATTCATTTGTGTTTCATACACATAGCCTGAAGATATCTTTATGCGGTATTTTTATTTTTTTATTTGTATTTATTTATTTATTTTGATACCAGGGATCGAACTCAGGACCTTGTGCTTGCAAGGCAGGCGGCAGAACTACCGAGCTAAATCCGTGGGCCCTATGCAGTATTTTTAGTGCATCTGCATTTTGACTACAACTCCTCACATGAAGTTAGAATTTTCCTCTAGTAGTTGTCATACTGGTGCTTAAAGAATTTTTAATTTTGCAATGTTTTAGATTTTAGAATTTCAGGCTAGGGATGCTAAAACTATCAGTTTTGACATCTTCAATTCAATCTATTACTACATCTTTCCAATGTCTCAGCTAACAGTAGCATAAGCAAATGCATAAATTATGTTAAGTAGCAGCATACTAGATAATAGTTAAATAATGAAGCAATTAAAACTATATAAATATTCCAAGTACAGTAGTAGGACAAATCCTTATATCCTCAACTTTTTTTTTTGGTACCAGGGATTGGACTAGGGACCTTGTGCTTGCGAGGCAGGTCCCACTAGCCTAAACTTCTAATGTAAAAGGGTTATATTAAAAATAAGGTCTCTTCACACTTCATATTCTTTTTTCATATTTTTTATCTTGGTTTTTTGAGACAGGGTCTTGCTGTGTAGTCCAGGCTGGCCTTGAATTCAAAGCAATCCTCCTGCTTTAGCCTCCTAAGTGCTGGGATTACAGAAGTGTGCTACCAGACCTGGCTTACATTTCATATTCTTAAAAGGAAAAAACAGCTAAATTTATTTGATAAAGTTTAAGAGAACTTTTTAAATAAGAACTTTATAAAACAACCTTACAGATTGATGATCTGTGGATGATTCAAGAGTAAAACAATTCTAAACTGAATTCCAAATAGAGCTAACAGAACTTGACATTCCATGCTGGCAACTATTATACAATGAATAGAGCTGCAACATACAAAATTATCCCCCCCCAAAATATATCTGTATCTATTATATTTCTCCACACCATTTAATGTTTCAACTGCTAATAAATACCTGGTAAAATAGCTCCATCTTTGTATAAGACTGGGGGGATGAAAAGATGGGGAAAACTAACATCCACTGAAAACCAATATTCCATATAAATGTAAGTTAAACAATTTTGCTTTTCATATGTAAATGCCAATGCTTACTATAATACAAATTAACACTGATAACTTACTAAAATTTTAATGACATAGACAAAATAACATCCACTCACTAGATTTTAACATTTTAAATTTATATCATGTATATGAAAATGAGAAAAGTCTGCATATTTCAAAACATAAAATCATTGTTAATTTTTTTTTTTTTTTGTACAGGGGATAGAACACGAGGCCTTGCTTTTGTGAGGCAGACTGAGAAACCACTGAACTAAATTCTGGCCCTCAATGTTCATTTTAAATCACCAGTAATCAGGAATCCAGCAAGAGGCCCTCCATATGCATGGGTTCTGCAACCATGAACTCAACAAACCTCAGATAAAACATATTCTAAAAAAAGGTGTCCACAGATGTTTAAATACATTGTTTCTTTGGTGTGAGAAATCTAATGTGGAAATAAGGACTAAAATGTTTAACAGATATTGGGAAATGTAAAGAAAATGTTCAAATGGGAAGGGGAACAAGGGAGGAGGGAGGGAGAAAGGAAGGGACAAGGAAAAAAAGTGAAAATAGAAGGAAAAAATAGAAATAAAACTTCTGTATATAAGGAGGGGAGGGGGCTAGAGGGAAGGTAAGAGTGGATAAAATAAAATTTATTTTTAAAAAGTGCCTGTAATGAACATACAAAAACTTTTTTCTCATTATTCCACAAACAATACAGTATTAACAACTATTTACATAGCATTCGTATTGCATTACTATAAGGTAGACTATATATGGATGAAACCAGGTCATACCAGATGCACAGTAAAAGTCTTAAGTTTCAGAGTGCTATTTTTAGTCACAAATTGCTACATGCCTGCATCAACTTTCTTAGTCTGTTGACTCTCCTGTTATCACCTAAATATTTAAGAAACTAGAAGTTATTTTAAAATGTATAGATTGTGTCCACAAAACGCTCCAAACTATTGCTTATGTAGATAGTAAAGCCAATAATGTCAAATTTTTTTAGCCTTTTTTAATCAGTAAATAATTGTAGTACATAATATACATGTACATATTATGCACTTGGTACATATACATAACATATCTTAATTATTTTTTAAAATCACCTTTCCCTGCCCTCCTCCCCTCCATCTTTGGATCTCCTTTACCTTTGGGAAAGATCTCTCTCCCTACTTCCTAGTGATGTCAAATATTACAGAAACAGACCCAGCTAACTAGCCACATACACATGGGAATGTACTGCATAATCATTTGGCTTTACTCCAACAGCACTACAAACTTCAGATCTTTTCCAAACTTTTTAAATGAGTTTCTTAAAAATCCAAACACTTGAAGAGACTGCCAATGCCCAAAATGTTCAAAGTCGCTCAAATTAGCCTCCCCATGTAACCAAATAGTTTAGGACAATATCATCCACAATCAAGATCTTACAGTATTATCAACTCTGAATTATTTTCCAGCCACATAAATTACGCGTCTAGTCAGAAAAAAAAAAAAAACCTGACAACTACAGACCTTCTCCTTTTATTTTTCTTCTCCGGTTTCTGACAAGACAAATGGCAAAAGTAACTACGTCGGGAATGGTAAGGATAAAGTAGCTCTCCTCAACTCCCAAGACTTAAATCGTTAAAACTGCCGGGAAATAAGCAAAACCAAATACACTCAAATATAAGAACCTTTTTTTCTTTAATATATCTGAGATGAGTGAAGAGGGAGACTCTAAAACTAAGACCATATTGTGCACCACCCTCCTATCGCATACAAATGAGAACATCGCTCAAGGGTTCCCACGCCTACCTACATCAGATAGAAGAGAGGCACAACCTTTGGTCTGAGTAGAGCTGTCCCCTTAGTCGAGCGCCAAAATCATAACCAGAGTAAGAAACGAGGTCGGGGCATAGGAAGCTACTGCAGAGTTCAGTAAAGGATGCTCAGGCTGCGCTGAAAACCCGAAGAGGTGAGGACGATGGACCCCTATCTCAGGCCTCCCTATCCCGGGATCGGCGGACACCTTTCGTCAGATACCCACACCTACTTAATGACTGCTTACCTCCTTTCCAAGTTCCCTTTCCCAGCACAGTTCCGAGGTGTCACCACTACCTCCGCTCCAAGGAGCGGGGGAGGCGACAATCTGTCCCCGCGCCTGGACCTGGGAAAAGGACGACAAGGAGAGGGATGTGCACGCGCGGCTCTGCCACGGCAAGCGAGGGGCTCCAGGGCAGCCGACAAGCGGAAGTCGTCCGCCACTTCGCCAGGGTCAAGCGAGACCCGGACGTAGGAAAAAAACAGAACCAAGAGACTGAAAAGTAAGAAGAGGATACGAATACACAAACAGGCCGTTAGGCGGATCGTCTGAAAACGCCGCCGGAAATCAGAGGTTTGCCGAGTTCTTGTGCTGACGCAGACAGCTTCCGGCCGCCAAATTAGTCGTCAGAGCACAGGCCTCGCCCCTCGCGGCCACGCCCCCGGGTGTAAAGTCGACGCGGCCGAGCTAGGCGCTGGCGGTGGCGGTAGAAATCAGTAGCTTGTTCCTTAGGAGACCACGGCACAGCGAGCTGGGAGGTGGGACAGCTGAGTTCCAGTCAAAAGACAAATTTTTGCCTTTTTAATTATATAGCGTGTTACGGTGAACAGGTGGTGTAGACACCATGTTTGTTGCTGCAAATAATACAGCCATTGTTTTCTTTCCTTCCCAGTGTTTACTGAGAGGCCGAGCTGGAGAGAGAGGCAGGATCTGTTCTGAGTTTCACAGGCCTTGGGGTCCTGGCCTTCGCCAGTGGTTGGGGCGGCCCGAAAGTACGGTGGTGTTTTTAGAGGCGCAAACAAGTTTACTGGAACGACCAGAAAACTTGAACGTACTCCTGACCAACTTTCCTCCCGTTGGGTAGAGACAATTATCTCCTTGGAACTGTACTACATTTGCTTGAGGTAGCTAGCGAAGCATCAGAAATTAAAAGTGAACATACACGCGAATCTGTCTTAATTTCAAAGTAGCATATATTGTGTTCTTTGGCAAAAGCAAGGAGGAATGGGAAAATCGTTTATGAAAACTACTCATCAAATTTAGAAACTAGTACGATATGGTCTCGCTAGAATCCGTAAAATTACGGAAGCAGAGTGAAAAGTCAAGGGCATTAAACGTTCCTGATGACATGCCAGGCTATTTTAGAGATAGCAGCTAGAGCTTCTGTACAAGTAGGTTTGATATAACGTTCTGGCAGCAAGAATCCGTATCTGCCTGTATCTCGAAGTTCAATTGTAAATGAGTACTTAATGCCCAAATCATAGATCCAGTCATCGGAACCTCCAGGAGCCAGGTCTAAAACAAGAAGAAAAGATAGATATTTCAAATTAACAAAATGAGATTTTTTTTTGTAAAAATGAAAGTAAGTTTGCACTTTTCTGATTATTAAATAACCTGAGTTTCTTGCAGAAAATGGAGATTGATGGGAAACAGGTTAAGGAAGAAAACAAAAATTATCCATAACACTACCATTATACTACCAAGAAAAGATAAACACTACCGGAGAATTAGCTCAGTGGTTCCACTGCCTCACAAGTGCAAAGTCTTGAGTTCGATCCCCAGTACAAAAAACAAAAAGGAGATAACCACCAATGTTTTATTGTGTTTTTTTCAGTGCATACATTCACTTAAATTTTTACATTATTGCGTAAGTGCAATCACTTTTTTTTTTTTTTTGAGACAAGATCTTATTAGTTCAGACTGATGTGAAACTTGTGATGATCCCCCTTGTCTCAGCTTCCCAAGTGCTGGGATTATAGGCATGTGCCCTGCAAACTGACATCATTCTTAGTTTGAAGAGCCTTCTTTTGGAACGCTAGATCTCATACTGTACTTGAATATCTTTCTGTGCTCTTCTGTTCCCTTCTGTTGACCTCTTTTTTTGAGACCCAGTCCTACACTGTCATAATTACTATACGTTTATAATGTGCATTAACACCTTATTGGGTGCAATATCTTGCTAGTCTTATTTTTGGCACAGTAGATCCTCAAGTTATAACCAGACTGACATATAAACAACTTGGGTTAATTAGTTTAATGGAAGATTCATCTGCCTTTTGTTATCTATAACATGTACCCAGGTAAACATCCAGATCTCATCTGTATTGACTTACAATCAACCTCAGACAACCAACCCTCAGAAACTAATCAAGTTTCTAAGTCAAAAGTCCATTGTATTTTTTCAAATTTATTCTTTCAAATGAATTTCAGGCTCATTTAAGTGTTCACTGAGATTAATTTCATTGAAATTAACTTAGAAAAAGTTTATATTGCTTTCTCATAAACACGGAGGTAGCAGGGCACGGTGGTGCAACCCTGTAATCCCAGCTCTCTTGGAGGCTGAAGCAGAATTGCCTCAAATTCAAGGCCAGCATGGGCTACATAGTGAATTCAGGGTCAGCCTGAACTTCATAGTGACACCCTATCTCAAAAAAACAAAAAATTTGAAAAACACAAAAGCTCTTTTTCTCTTCTGTTACATCAAAAAAGTTTTCTAGATTTTTCCTATAGGTTCTGTGGATTTGTTGCATTTAATAAACACGTGTATGTGTATGTGTGTATATATGTATGTATGATGTATTTCCATGTTTGTATGTATGTAATGGGATGCAGCCAGATCTTTTTTCCATTTCCTTTTTTCTTTTTTGGCACCAGGGGTCAAACTCAGGACTTATGAGGCATGCGATGGCACCACTGAGCTAAATCCCTGGCCCTCCATTTTATTTTCTATATGATCATTTTTATATAAAGGAAAGGTCTAGCTGGGTGTAGTGGTACATGCCTGAAATCTCAGCACTCAGGAGGCAGGGGGATTGCTGTTTATTTGAGGTCAGTTAGGACTACACAGTGAGTTTAAGCCCAGCCTGCATTACTTGGTGAGACCCTGTCTCAAAAAAATGGCAAAAAGAAAAATAGTTCTAGTTTTATGTATATTTAGTTCTTGAACACTTTACCCAATGCTGATTGATACTAATATTTTTGGTTGGCTTTTTACGGTTTTCCAGGTAAACAATTATATAATAAGCAAAAATAACCATTTTTGTCTCTTTCTGCTTATACATGGATTGATTACAAAGTTCTTTACTGAAGTATGATTTATAATATTTTTAAATAGTTGTCAGGAGTGGTTTAATTAATTCAGCAAATATTTCTGACAACCATGATCAACATCTGGCATTTATTTTTCCAGCATTTTTCCTGTGCTTACACATATGTGTACATATTGATGCATCCTGGATGAATGAGTGGGTGTAGATGAACTGATTTCATAACAGGGCTATTCTAAAAGCTTCTTCAGCCCTTCACCATAGTTAATGCTTTGGGAAGCAATAATAGAGAATATGAGAATAAAAAAGCTCCAAATTGTGAAGGTAAGTGGGGTTTTTCTGTACCAGGGTAAGGTCCTGGGTCCGCATCAGCAAAGTCAGCAGTAAACCAAGGGACACCGATATAAGGTGGTTGACAGAGGAAGAGGGAAACTCTGGGGCATCCTACTAATAGAGCATCTGCTGCTCAAACATCATATTGAAAGTAGCATAAATGTGACTTTTTATACATTGTAGGTCAAACCCCGGGACTATATATATATATATTGTCTTCAGGCCTTTTCATATGCCATTCCCTACCCCTGGCCTTTTCTCACTTTTACTTGGCAACCCGTTACAGGTAGTTCTCCAGGAAACGTCACTTTACCAAGACCTTCCCATATTTCTTAACTAATTGCCTGTGTTACCTTACAGTCATTCTCAAACCTTTAAACTTTATTTTCTTTAAATCATCTAATGAAATTGCACTATACTTTAGTATTTATTTAACATCAGGAGTTGGCAGGATTATTCTGTAAAGGACCAGATTTTAAATATTTTAGGTTTTCTGGACCACATTGTTAGAATTACTGAGGTCTGCTGCTATGAAAGCCATTATACACCATATGCAAATGAATGTGCAGAACTGTGTTGCAATAACATCCACAAAGGTGAATTTCATATAATTTTCACATGTCAAAATGTATTCTTCTGTGTTTTTTTTTCATCCATTTAAAAAGATGAAAAATCATTCTTAGCTCAATGGTTACATAAAAATTAGGCTGGACTTGAGCTTTAGGCCGCAGTTTGCTGATACATACTTTCATGCTTATTTTTTATTTTTTTTATTCCTCATATCATTTACCCCCCAGCTTCAAAAGTACAAAATCATTACCTGTCATTCCACTATGGTACTTAGGAATCTCTCCATAAATATCTTCCAGCAGAAATTAATCAAGAAGACATTCAACTGTAGAATGTTATGAACTATATATTCTTGAGTACAGGTTATTGTTAAAAAGCACCTAAGAAAAATGGCATCACTAAGGTTTGTGTAGTGTACAATAGCAGTCTCCAACATGTTTGGCACCAGGGACTGGTTTCATGGAAGATAATTTTTCCACCAACCAACAGAGGGTTGGAGTGGACTGTTTCACTGTCAAATTCTCTTCTGGAGTGTGTAACCTAGATCCCTCACATAGGCAGGTCACGGTAGTGTTTGTGTTCCTGTGAGAATCTAATACCACTGATGATCTGACAGGATCAGCAGTAATGACAGGCAGTAACGCAAGGGAGGTGGGCGGCTGTAAATACAGACCACCATCTGTGTCCCAGGGTTGGGGACACTTGGTGTACAATATGCACAACCTTACATGATGGCCCTGGACGCTTTACACATTCTTTTGCCCCTTTATGACACTTTCATCTTAACCAGTGTGATACCAACTCTGTAATCTGTACTCTATACAAGCATTTCTTAAATACCATGTTGGCTTCTTTTTAGTTTAGTTATATATTATTACAACTTTGTTCAGCACTGTCACAGCTATTATGCTTCTGTTTCTAATTATTATAATTCAGTTGTTTTTACATGTGACCTTATGTTTGGAAACTACACCTACATAGAAAAATTAAATACAGATACATTTAATTACTCAGTTCTCCGAGATCTTAAAAAGAAATACTTACATAAAGTATCTGAGCCACTGCCATGTGTATACTTGGTATTTTTATGAATACTCTCAATAGCACGAACTGCTTCCCTGGCCACTAGAGACTGAAAGCAATAGGATATAGAATTTCAGTTAATGTGCAGTTCTGAAACAGGACAGGTGGAAGTTTTGAAAAACAATTACATTAATTAAATAAAAGTGTGTATGAAAAACCTAGATGTATCTAAAAAGTAAGTTAAGATGAATATATTAATGTTTTTAACTTTATGGCAATCACAAATGGTTGGTTTTAAACATAAACTCTTCCAGTGCATTGAAAATTTTGATATTTTAATTTGTGCCAAAAAATTCTCACATGGCTTTCCAGGAATCCATTTATTATGTAAAATAAACTCCATTTCAAAGGCTTGGACTTATTCCATTCCTAGACAAAATTATCATCAAACTTTAAATCAAAATTCTCTAAATATATATGCACCCACTGCATGGATGATACACTTCTCATCCTTCACACAAATTCTCTTTTCTTCATGTTTAAAATGTTTTAATTCAGTGGCACTGTGCCTGCCTGCCTGGCAAGCACAAGGCCCTGAGTTTGATTCCTGGTACCCAAAAATAAAAAATTTGTTAAAAGTCTAATGACTTCCAAAGACTCATCAAATAAAAAAGATTGTGCCCCTAGTAGGTAGCAGGATAATAACTAAGCCCACTAAGATGGACTACATTTGGTTATGAAGAACTTTTCTGAAGTTCCCACTTAACCCAGAAATTAAGACTAGCCTCGTGGTCATCACTATCACCTTCTGGACAAATCTAGCAGAATATCAGTATATCTTTCTATCTAATCTATATCTATAGATATAGATATATAATCACTGTGTATGGTATTGAGTCATTCCCTTGTCCAAAACTTACGTCTTAATGGAATCCCATTGTCTACAAAACAAAATACAAATTGATTCTGACATTTCAACCCCTTCACAAGAGGACCGTGCCTACTTTCTGATGATGTTACCCTCCACTCCTAGTCCCTTGAGCAAGCTTTCTGTGAGCAATGCCATCTCTTCTGCTTGAAAGCTTATCCCTTCCCTTTGAGTACATAGAAATCTTTCAAAATTGCCTACAATGGTGACTGTCCTTTGATGTCAGTGGTATTTTATTATTATTTCTCTGCAGTATGTCAACCCTTAATAGCCTATGAGTCCCTCAAGAATGGAAGATACCACATCCCTTCCTTTATCTCAGCACTTACCTCTAAAGGAGGTAAGAGGCCATCTCTGACTATCCCAGTCAGCACTGTGTTTCACTACTGGAATAAATTGGTTTAGTGAACATATATGTTGCTACACTCTATGAGATATTTATTCTGGGGATTGAACTCAGGGCCCTCTACCAACTGAAGCAGCATATCCCCACCCCTGTGTGTGTCTTCTTTGAACCTCTATTGTCCATGGCATTCTTAAAACAAAACAAAACAAACAAAAAACTCTTGCTTCAGTGAAGTTTTAAAGCCTCCAACCCCTTAATCCAGTGAACCTTCATCTCGGTGACTCTTGACAGATTGTTGAGGATCACCCATGATATGTATAGATTCATGGGGGACAAGCTACAGGCCTTACAGGCCTAAGGCCAATGTGACTTGCATTAGGAATAGGGAAATACTCAGAAGGCTGCATATTTCCTGGCTGTGTAAGGAAAGCGCATAATCACAGTGCTCTTTAGGCAAGATAACATCTGTTGAGGATAATGCAAAAAAAAAAAAGCAAGAATCCAGGTATAGGGAAGGACTTAATCCCCATTAACTTGTTCCCTTTGTGAGGATTAACTTGTTCCTCATTTTTTGTTGCCCCAGTCTTACTGTAGTCACTGTTCTGGGAAAAGTACACTACCCCTCCCCCTGTGCTTCTTGCTGCTCATAAAAACAGGTTAACCATGGAGATTATCGATTCTGTCCACTAGGGGCAGGCTCCTTCCAGTTCACTTGAACCTTGAATATTGTCTCTGTTTCTTTTTATTCCCCTTTGTTCCCAATACAGGTATTTCAAGAATCTGATCAGCCCCTAGCATTAGACAGTGATACAAAACATCTGTACATTTGTCATCAAGTGGAGAAAGGTTTTTTCCATAGTTTTTGCTTCTTGAACTATGTATTATTTTATTTCCGAAATCTAATGAGAAAAAGAATTAAGTAGTACTTACCAGTTCCTCATGGTCTTTGCTTTTGCTTCTGTTATAGGAATATGGGAACAGTATCTGCTGGGAGTATGAATGCATGCTGATGTAAGCTTTAGTATGCTTAATGTGTCTTCTCAAGAAATTTGCCACCGCCTTTACTTCTGGCTCTGATTCAGGATAAGGTCCACAGTAGGTTTCAGAGCATGAGAAACTTGATGCACCTTCCTCTAGTAAAGTTATAAGAGAATTTTAAGGGAGTCTAAATACTATCATAATTTCTGATTTCCTTGACAATGTATTCTCCTAACACTGATGACAGCGTATTTAGGTAAATGGATTAGGGAGAGGTCTGTAAAGAGCATAATCTTGATGTACAGGAATGTTGCTTATGTTTCTTTTGAAGCCAGATATTTACAAACATACCATGTAACCTTATTTCCAGGCCATGTGTTCCTTTCTGCCTTGGGGCAACTGTCTTGCAACTCTGAGAAAACAGACAGAAGTCTCAGAGATGCTGGATATGCTTCCAAACTTCTGATTATGTGAGGAAAAATAAACCACATTTGCTTTAATCAACTGAATTTTTTTCTAATATTTGCAGTTTAAAAATTACTATGTTTGTCGGGGCAGGGTTTTAGCTCAGTGGCACTGTGTCTGCCTAACAAGCAAAAAGTCCTGAGTTCCATCCCTGGTATGAAACAAACAAAACAGCAAACAAAAATTACTAAATATATAGTCCACAAAAGAACCTTGCTTGGGAACTCAGAATATGCAAATCAGTTTCCTGTGCTACTTTAACTTGCTAACTTGGTTTAGTAAATAAAAGGGGATAGTGATAGTTGGTGTCACTATAATGTTCATCCTTTCTGTTGAGAGAACCTTCCTTTCAACACTTCCCTCTCTCCCTAACTCACATGGGTGGAGTCCCAGGGAGCCACTATTGACTCAAAGGATTATTCCCTCTTGGAAACAACTGAGGTTCCAGAATTTGGTTTTTAATTTGTGTTCTGTCTATCTGAATCCCTCCAATGATAACGTGAAATTGAGGATAGAATCTAGTCTTAGTCCAGCTACCCCCTTGAATGAAAAATGGTAATAGTAGTCCTGCTACCATCTGAAACCCATAGAACATGTGCTGTATGTCAGGAACACTGCTAATATTTAGGCAATATCTCAGTAATTCTTCACAACAACTATATGAACTACACAGTGTTATTTTAGGACATGCAAATGTTACTATTGGTGATAGCTATCCATCACAATAAGAAACTATGCAGCATAGTGTCAAGTATCCTATCACTAGATTCAACTCTTGAATTTGTCATTTAGTAGCTATATAAACTTGGGTTTTTTTTTAAACCTATCCATACCTCAATTTTCTTATCTGCAAAATGAGGGAAATTATATGTTAACTTATCTGCAAAATGAGGGACATTATATATTAAATGAGGATTAAATGCAGATACAATGAGCTATTGTATATAATTGCTAAAGAGTGTCTGGCATACAATATATGTTCTATAACTGTTGCTGTCCATCATCATCATGATTATCATCTTTCCTATCAGACCTGTCGTACCCCAAATTCCTTAGGAATACTGAAAATCCACAAATAGACTCAGTTCAAAAAGTAAAGAGCAGAGCCTGATACTAAGATAAGGAATAGCTTGAGAGAATCCAAATTACCTAAAAGAAAAAAAAGCCCTGTGCCCATACCTGTAGAACAGGCTAATACCCTTTTTGGGGACAGGCCACCTTTTCCCAGAGTTTCTATCTCTTTAAGAGAAGTATAAATGTTTTCTTTTCCAGGAAATAATGCATTCCATTTCTCTGGGTGCCTACACGTCACTTTTGAGTGTGTCCTACTAAAATCTGTGCCTAATAATCCCTTCCTGTGCCTCTTACTGACATGTCCTAAAATTTTTTTTTCTATGACAAGAGCCAGGGAACCCACAAACTTTTTCTACAGAAGAGTGGGTTAGGTTCCTTATTTCAACCGTCTGAGAATTTCTTGGATCCAGTTTGTGACATTTTCTCTTGGTGAGCCCGTCAGGAGATAAAAGAGCCATCAGGAAAGTGACTTTGGTAAATCCAGCCAAAATTTTTTCATGTTTTATTTTCCCCACTTCCTTTAACTCTTTGCCTTCTGAAGCATTATTTTCTCCAAGCCCTTGTCCTTTGGAAAATAGTTTATCTCTTTTGTTGCCCATTTTTCACTCTCCCTGTCTACTAACTTCTGCAACCTTATGTTTGTTTTACCTTTCCAACAGTTAGAGGCTCCCCAAGTCCCTAGTAGATGAATGCTTGTACGTAAAAGCACCAAAGACAAGAGGCACTTGCTTACTCTAACCAGCATGGAAAGAGGTGTTGAGCGGTATCTCTATGATGTGTGACAGCCTCTCTCAGGTCCACATACCTTGTTACCAGATAAAATAGAACTAAAATTTGCTCGTTAGGGAGACATATATAAGGATTGGCCAATCCAGTATCTCAAGCAAAGTTTCTCATGCAACCAGCAGGGAAAACTCAGTCCTGAGACATCACGGAGAAGACCAGCCTTTGGAGTGACTCCTAAGGGAAGCAATAAATCATGCACACTTTTGGGTCCTAACCACTTTAGATAAGTGGAGATCCATTAACTGCTTTTTTTGATCTCCCTCTCTCTCTCTCTCTCTCTCTCTGTCTCTCTCTCTCTCTCTCTCTCTCGTCTCTGTCTCTCCCAACCAAAGGGCTTAAACTCAGTCCACCTGATGTCATAGCCCTCCTTTTTAGGTGCCTGGGAGCTTGTCCTAAGTTATGCTTATTCAAGGGTCCATTTGGGTAATAGCTGATGTTATCCACAGGACCATATGAAGTCTGTAGACTCAAAGTGAGGATCCCACTGGTTCACATTTTTTCCCCTCCTGTTTTCCCTAAGAAAACCCTCATGCCCTTTTTTGTCTCTTCTCTCTCACTCAGGATTTCATCTGCCAGAAAACTCAAATCCTTTAATTTTTTCTAATGTTATCAGGGAGAGACAGGAAGCTGGAGGGTGGAGGAGATTAATGGACTGTGGAGCTCAAGAAGTTTTCTCATGGCTCTGGGGTCAATTCCTAATTCCATGTGTTCCACCATGTGGGACGGGGAAGGCAAGCATGTGACCTCTTTTTTTTCCCAGCTGGTATTAGTACACAGGCCCATGGGAGAGGCTCCATTTTGGCTTTTCTCAGCTGTCTGCCATGACCTTCCTGGGTCCTAGAACTACCTTTCAAGCACTGCCTATAGGTTTTTTTCTTTTCTTTTCTTTTTCTTTTTTTTTTTTTTTTTTTTTTTTTTTTTTTTTTTTTTTTTTGGTGTTTTGAGACAGGGTCTCGCTATGTAGTTGAGCCTGACCTGGAATTCACTATGTAGCCCAGGCTGGTCTCGAACTCACAGTGATCCTCCTACCTCAGCCTCCCGAGGGCTGGGATAACAGTCATGCGCCACCATGCCCAGCCTCTTTTTCTTTTTCTTGAGTCTTTTTAGGCTGTTTCTCTAATGTTAGCTTGCTTCCTCCCTCCATGTTATTTGGTTCTTGTGTTTTGTTTTTGTTTTTTTGATACCAGGGATCGAACACAGGTTGTTGTGCTTGCGAGGCAGGCAGCGAAACCACTGGGCTAAATCCCTGGCCCTGGTTCTTGTGTTTTAATGATAATTTTGTGCTCGAGTTTATCTCCCTATCTAGAATGGCATGTGATTTTTTTTTTTTTTGAGATAAAGTCTTGCTATGTAGTTCAGGCTGATGTTGAACTAACTATGTAGCTCAGTTTCACTTCAAACTCATAGTGACACTCCTGCCTCTGCCTCCCGAGTTCTGAGATTTCAGGAATGAGATACCATGCCCAACTATAGGGTCAAGTTTTGAGCCAAGCTCAGCTGTTGTGTACAACTCCATTTCCTGCTTTCCTAACCAATTGATAATGTTAGAATAGCTATGTGCCAGGAACAAGAACACTTATTCTGGACATGAGCAGCAGCTTTCCACATGACCAGCAGGGACATCTAATCAATGATCTGCCCTGCCAGTTCTGGCAGTTCTGTCTTTGGGAAACCAGGCACACAGCATGACCCCAGCCTTAGGCAGGCCGCATACATGGCCTGACCTCGGTGTGGGGTGGACACGTCATACCTGTAACATAACTCTGGTTTGGAGTGCACTGCGCACATGGTGGGGAGCCCCCAGCATGAGGCAAGCAGCTCAGACAGCCTGACCTCAGGAACCTAAATAGGAACTTCATTTCTCTCTCTTTTTTTTCCAGTACTGGGAATTGAACTCAGGACCTTGCACTTGCTAGGCAGGCACAGTGCCACTGAGCTACATCCCCAGTGTTTCTCTCTCTTTTCTATCTCCATCTCTTTCCAAAAATACACAAGGGAGATCTTAAAGACATATGATACATCTTAAATGATTATGGATAATTCAATGTCAGACCCCAAAACATCATCTCTAGGTTATATTTTATAAACTTAGGACCAATTTAAAATGCAGGATTTTTAAAAGTTGATTTTTCTCCAAATGTAAGCCAGAGAGTAAAAAATAAAAACAAAAAACAAGCCCTTAAACTTGGTCTTATAATAAGGAGAGAGAATAAAGACCCTACCTAGCAATTTATAGTTTTTTTTTTCTTTCCCCTTTTGACACTTACTAGGTAAAATCTATTGTGGTAAGTAACAAGAAAAAGATACTCGGAGTAATTTAAATTATTAAAGGAAATACTGTTAGGACTTACATAAGAAAAAGAGCACTAATTGATGACCCATAGGAAATGTTCTGACAACTCTATAGTTAAAATCTAAAACTGCAGAAAAGATTGTTATAAATCAGCATGGCCACTGCATCTAAAAGTGCATGCTATTTAAACATAATTGCTTCATGTGTACTATATGTTCTCTTGTCTGTCTGCCTGATAGTCTGTTTTAATAACTGGTTAAAGTACCTACAACTGCCTCATTAAAGATTTTGTTTTGAGCTTAAATCAGTTATTTTTTTCCTTTTTTATTTTTGTCCCTGTAAACTTCTGGCTCTGTAATTAATTGATTGTACAGGATTTTTGGTGTTTTGTTTTTTTTTTTTTTTTATACAGGGTCTCACTATGTAGGTGACACTGACCTGGAGCTCACTACGTAGCCCAGGCTGGTCTCGAATTCACAGCGATCCTCCTTCCTCAGCCTCCCAAGTGCTGGGATTGCAGGCATGTGCCGCCACGCC